CTTACGTCTAGCTGCCAAGTTTCTATATCTTACCAAACGTTGGGTTTCAGGCTACTCGATCTGGCGTCCTGTAGTAACCATATCTTCAGCCACCTCTCATTTCCGAACCCATAAATCCCAGCATGCATCGGTGTGTTCTGATAACCTCTTACGATGGGTCGGCAGGTTGTATTTAGCACATATGCAGAATTGGTCTGAAGATTCCCTTAAAAAGGCATGATTGATAAAATTGTTAATTTTCTTTTTCATCGCCCTCATGTTCCAGTTCATCAGTAATTCATATAGAAGTTGTTTGACCTTGTTTTCGCGACTTGTTTATAATGGTATTATGAGTTCATTGTATGCATAATCATTTCCAAAGTCGGACCGTGGACGTGGTGCATTCCCAGATGTTTCGCCGGCATCCTAGTAGGCATCGTCAGTGGGTTTTACCATTCGTAGCACCATATTACAACACGTCAAAGACAAATGAAGCCGATCCTTTGACCAAACGTGTGCTAAATATTTATGGTATATGCTCTTCTGCCCTGGTATATTCACATTTCATATATCCTCCTATCACGCCGTCACAGTCACAATTATTTACTTGCTTAATCAAATGTGGTACAGGGTGCCCTTTTTTTAGCGGCTGTCATGACAACGCTCCGCAGTCCACGCTGGCCTTCTCACCCCCCCTCTTCATCCTTGTGCTGGCAATGTTGATCAGTCTGCCATATTGTTACGGGGTCCTCCTTCCCTAGGTCTTACCACAGTCTCTCTCTTGCCCTGTAAGATCCGTCTGCCCTCTCCCTGGTTTAAATATTTCACTCGACCCCTGCCACCCCATCTGTGCCAACCGAGGCTTTATTTGCCCTACCCTGCGTCTGGGTGACTAATTCGAGGCTCAAGCATCTGAGTAAGTTTCATGGTCAGGCCTTTGCCACATGGACCACGTCTTTTACAAAAATTACCGTCAGCCAACTAGCTCCAATCGCCGCGGCGTCTATCCTGTTTCTATCTCTAATTACCAAGTCTATGATATCCCATGCCCTAGTCTCTTCTGTGCCAATCTACAAATTTTGTGGTACGGCTTGCTTTGGTTAGGTTCAATGTTGAATCACAACGTATGGCAGCATCAAAAATCTGAATGAAGACTTGCATAATTTTCTATTTTATTTTAAAAAATTATTTTCACTTATTTATTTTTTGTATTGTAAGATTGTTGACAATTATACCTAATTGATAATAGTTATGTACCAATATTTTTATTAGCCCTTATAACTCTTGCTCCTTGTTTTGTCATTTAGTCGCGAACTCCTTATTATCATGGATCTTAGCCCCATCATATCTAATCTATTAATTAATCTAAGGAAGTCTTCCAGACCCTATTTGCTATGTTGTCAGATAGCAAAGCAGTCATTCCTATATCTGACTCATCGTTTCGGAATTAGGAGTGCTCTTAAAGCATTTCAAGATTGCATTTTTTGATTAGAACAAAAACCAGACTTAGGCAAGCATTATCCGTTACTCGTAATTCGCAGGTTTTACTGATGGAATCATGACAAATGAAGTCTAAATGATTACAAAATACCACTGAATTCACTAGGAAGTTAGAAAAGGGCAGTAAGTTACTCTTAGTATGTATAATAACCACGACCAAGTAATAAAAATATGAAATCTCTATTACTTTTAATTGACGTTGGTGATGCTGACTACTTTGCTTGCAAAATCTCCTACGAAAAACTTTTTGGTGGGAAAGACAAAGTGGAATTTAATACGCTATTTTATATCTGTTATTTTTTATTTACAAACTATCATCTTTTTATAAGCAAAATTTTTTCCTGCATTAACCAAATTATAATAGGCATTTCCCCGAAAACTACATTGGCGGTCCAAGATCTGGCTAGCTGTGTACCACCTTTGGCAGATAAGCAAACTCATCTTCACTCCTCTAGTCCGGCTGCATCAGAGGTACGTATAAAGATGATGAAGAGTGTCCTATTCTTTATTAATTAATTACTATAACTTAGATGATTTTTCGCGATTACCTTGAAATTCTGTATTTAAATAAATAAATTTTAATAAAAAATATATGTTTTAATTAGATATTTCACTTTATAAACTTGAGTACAGCTTGACTTTATGCTTTTTATCTTCTTCAAGCGAATATCTAGCTGCTTGTCTATCTTGTAATAATGCTAGCAGATATCATTGCTATTGCTGTATAAAATGGCCCGACTTCTTTAAGCTCCAGCAACAGATCCTCCATTCTTGAATGTCTATATGGGATACAGAACGAAACATAGTTGCAGTTATCCTTTTGACATAAATTCACCTGGTATAATTATAATAACACGGCACACCTCGACATTCCCAGGCTATTACAATTAAAAAACTTGACAATAAGTTCTACGTACTTCTAATTCACTCGCGATATCTATGGCCAAATACTCTGACTAGCTATGAGATCCTAAATCTCACCTGTTTTGGCAAACGTATACATGAAAAAAGTAGAATTTGAGGTATCACTGCTGCGACCAATAGTTCTCATACGCTGTCTGGATTATGCCTGAGTTTTTGGTCACATTGAAGATAAAATTTAGATGGGTTCATCAAGTTTATACACCAGCTTAAAAAGAAATTTAATTCACAATGGGGTGGAAGAGGACGGGTGGCTACCATTATCTCCAACACGATACCTATGAGAATAGTATACAGAAAGAAATCCTACACTGGAATAATCCTTAATTTCCACAACTACAGTCGAAGATATGAAGACCAAGAT